TTAATTGTTCATAATTAGAGAATAGTTTCATTAAATAAGTCCTAAGTGGGTATGCTGAATCAGCAATTATATAGATGCCACCTAGAACCTACTGTTCAGGATTATGAAAAATCTTATGATACAAAGAAGAACGATAAAATACTCATGCATCATGTACACTTCCTTTAAAAATTAAAATATGAATATTAAAAAAATTAAAAAAAAAAATAAGTAAAAAATAATAAATAAAAATAAATAAATAATCTGCTTCACCAATATGAACATATGTAAAACGTTCTAAATAATCTACTACACCAAGAAGGTTAATGGAATGGAAGTTTTTTCGATTTACAAATCATGCACCATTTTTATAAGGAGGATGAATAGGAATATGTGATCCATCTATTGCACCAATAATATTAGATAATTTATGTTCTAAGCCTGATATTCCATATTCAAACCCTTGTGTTATAGTTGCTAATTTTGTTCCTTGTAGCCACATTATTCTTTCCTGTTCTAAATCTAACAAAGCTTTCAAGAATCGATCTGTAAAATGATATACTGACCCTTGACTTATACCAAGTATTTGTTCTAATGTTCTTATCTCTGTTCTATTAGCAAATCGCCATAATACAATTGCGATTTGTTTCCAAGCAGGTATTATATTCAAAGCTTCATAACTAAAGTCTGGATGTGTTTGTAATCGCTTAACAATAGTATTAAAAGTAACAAGAGTAATACAGAAATGTCACTGAAAAGAATTATAACTATCATTATCAGTCAAGTTGAGAAAAACATTGACCCAGAATCCTCCAGTTTTAGACCTTCGTTGATGTTATATTCTTATATTAGGTAAAGAAAGTGCAATTGGAATAGTTGCATTGGTTATCATATGAGTATAGGTAAGAAGATAAGAAGTATCAATTATTTTTTTTTGGGTTTCTTGATGTTTTTTATTTGCTGTGAAACTTTCTAATACAAGAAGTAAAAAAATAATTTGTTGCCGACAACGAAGATTCATATTTGTCAAGTATATATTTAGTGCAAAGGATAAAAAAAATAAAATGAAATATAAAATAATGTAATTCGATCATAAAAATAAAATAAATTTATAATTTGATCATAAAAATAAAATATATAATTTGATCATAAAAATAAAATATGTAATTTGATCGTAAAATGCTTGAATGGTCTCGATCAATGATATATTTTGACCAATTAGTGCAACTCTATAAAGAAAAAAGATGAGCACAGAATATCTTTTTTTTTAACTGCAATGATAAACACTTTTGACCAGCTGAGATATTTTTTATTAATGAAAATTTATACACCAATCTATTGATTAAGGCACTTGAGAGTACCCTAATACATGTTATATACAGTGAGTTTTTAGCTATTGTTACTATTGTAAACTGGGAGAGTAAATAACATTGCACGGTTTAGCTCCAATAGTTAAATAGACAAGAATTGCTAAAATTATAAGGAAAATTAGGAGAGTGACTTATGATAGTGATAATAGCTATATCGGAGATAGTTTAGAAAGAGATGTCGGGATGATAATTAACGGGATAATTAATCAGAGTAATGATATAATAAGGGGTGATCAATATACAGTAATTAAATAAAGGGATGATTATAAGTAATTTCTTAAACAAGTAATACTGTGGTTTATTCAGTAGTCACTTCCAAATACAGTTAATCAATACTAATCTTTATATTTCGT